TAGAAAGCTTCTCGAGTAAAGCCAATAGCTTTCTTGTTGCGATGACGATTAAGGAAGACAGCTGTCGCCTTAATATTCCTCTAATCTTTGCTTTTGTGTCTGCCGAAATGCTAGGATCTTCCTGCAATTTTTCAAGGGTTGCATGTAGTTCAGCCGATTTCTCGAAGATGACGTCAGCAGCCTTTACTCTTGTTGTCCATCTCGTTGTAGAAAGACTTTGGAGTCCTAGAACTTTGTAATTGTTTGTTCCTGTTTCATTTCTAAAATCTGCCTGTATTTTTTCGAACAATAAAATACGTTTTGGATGGGCACCTACGATTGCATACAGGGATTGGCATAAATCCAGTGACGTAGACAATAAATTAGATTGCTTAGCTGCATCCTGTATAATAAGTTCATTGCAGTGACTGAAACAATGAACATAAATTGCGTTTGGTGCACTATCTTCCTTGAGCTTTCTTGCGAGGGATTTCATTGCTGAAGCCCCATCAAAGCCAATAACTGCCATTTTGTGACCTTCCATACAACATCTGAGAAGGATATCTTGGTGTAGTGCAGTAATGCATCAGATGAAAGTCCTTGCGAACATTCATAAATTCCAACAAAATCTTCCGATACTTCGTAATTATCATCACAGGTCCTACGGAGAAAGACAACTGTTCCTTCTTAGATACGTCTGATGATTCGTCAGCTAGAATTGAAAATGATTCTCTCACTAGAATTTGAACAATCAAATGTCTTCGAGCATTTAATACAATCATCTGTTTCTGCTCGTCCAGGATGTCGTGTGCAGTTACGTATCGGTTCTCGTCCAGTAAAAGTTTTAGTGCCTTGTCGTTGACAGCTTTATCAAGATTGAACTGATGAATATTAGATTCAAAATCCGTTGTACCTCTAATCGCTATACCTTGGCGTAAGAGTGTTTTTATTGTTTGAAGATGTAAAATTAACCCTTTCCGCCTTAACTGCTGCGTTTCAAGAGCAAGCGAACTGCAGGCTATGCTAATAGACAATTGCCCTTTGTCTGATGTGGCACAAGCTTCTTTATGAGCGTAACTGTTTTCATTTTCGTTGAATTTCTCACAGCCTTTTTTCCAGTTATCAAATCCAACTTCATAACTGCCAAACACTCCCTTTATCTTAAAGTGAGTAGAACAAATTTCGCAAAAAGCCTTATTTTTTTCTCGATTGTACACTAGCCACTCATAATTTCGTAACCACTGACCTTGGAAATATCAACCATGCTTCAGACTACTTTCCTTGTCTTCACTTGTAAAGTCTTTCTCATGTTTTACCCATGTCGTTTTCATGCATATCTTTTCTGTTTCACCAATCAAGCTTTTCGGTTTGGACCATTTTTGTGACTCACAGTCTGAGGCTTTTTCATTATAGACAGTTATTACAGTGTCAATTCCGCTTGTTGAAGCAGAATCAAAATCACGGCCTGTGTTTCCTTTTGCAAACAGCGATGTTATTTTAGATTGACCTGGTTTAGCAGCTGCTTTCGCTAATGCTTTTGCTGAATCTTTTTTATATCCTTCTGCTCTTGGCATTGCAGAAAAAGCGATGAGATGCAAAAAAATCCCTTTCAAAGTCATCAGTGTTTGGGTGACTGAGCCATTTATGCCAGCAGATGTTTACCATTAAAAATATCTTTGCTATACGTCATGTTCCTGGTACTTTTTTGGATTTAATAATAATGAAAGGAATTTGCAAAGGTATTGTGATTTTTAGTTGTTTACATTTAAAAAATGACGTTTCACGGTTGTCGAGGAATTCGCTCCTCAGCTGGTTCACTAACACTCTTCGTTTTGAACCTTTTATTTTACAAGCCAAACAATCTACAGTACATCATTGGAGTATTCTTACGCTATCTATTAGAGTTAATTATTTACATGTTATTTATACTATCGGTAATTACATAAGTCGAGCTTTCCTTTACGTCATTAGCAGTACTCACTCTTTCATTGCGTTTCAAGTTCTCGCGCGTTGCAACAAAAAGAAGAACTAACTAAACAAACAAAGAACTTACAAAACGTACTTAAAACAAAGAAATGTTAAAGGAAAACTAACATAGTTACGACAATTTTATTGCTAAGCTAAAAAGAATGCAATATCCCACAACGGTTAAGTAGTCTTTATCTTGGATTAAAAACAATAAATTTTCAACCTGTAGGGCACTTTTGCGCCCCCTGCCCATCTCCAGAAAAGGCAAGGGGGGCCGTTGCCCCCCTTGCCCCCCAGTTCCGGCGTCCCTGGACATAAACCCGTTTTTTCGATATATAGTAAATGTTTCATGCAATTCCCAGCACATGGTGCGTATTTACAGCATAAAGCTTCGTTCGTATCAAGCTTGAATACCTAAAAACAAATTTTCGTCACAGAGTGAAACACATAGCTATGTAACAAATCCATTTTTAGGGCAAATATTTGGAAGTTGTGTTTAATCTTTTAAACGTACGGCTCTTAATATTTGCTCTATTTTAGTAACCTAGATGCCTCCTTGATCACTTAAGTGGTAAATTATCGATAAGTTTTTGGCACATTTTTTTGGCAAGTAACTTTACTAAAATTGAAACTGACTATTTTGGCTAGGCTAAAATGCTATCTTACAGCTGACAAATGATGTGAATAAACTAGTCATTGACCTAGCTAAAATATTGTTTCCTAATTGGATTATCCATTCTATAATATTCCTCATGCAGTAATACGGAATGATCTTATTACTAAAAAAAAGTATTCGTGAAAAATGTTTTTCACAAAACGATTCTAACAATATATACTCATACTTTATGTGATGTACTTGGTCCGTTGTGTTCTTGCACAGGCTTCTTTCTAGTTTGGAGCTACAAGAAATAACAATTATCTAATCCATAAAAATGATTTTGGGAGCTTTGAAATATTAAGCAGTTAAGATAAAGTTCAGATATTATTTAGTCATTGGCAAAAGTTAGTGTGCCATCCTTCTGAATAGCATAGCTTTAAGAACGTAATCAGTCATAAAAAGTCTTAATCATTCAGTAATAAATGGAAAGACTGAATTAGTCTGGATAATCAGTAGTGAACCAAGTTCAAGGTAGCATTGATGTAAATATTCAAGCAATTGTTTTATACAAAGTAAAAAATCACGTAAGTAGTCATTTATGATAACATCCAGTAATGACCAGTGTCATCCAGTGATGATGAATGACATGTAATGTTGAAGCAAATGCATAAGTTAAGTGATGATTTTTTTTCGTGCAAATATTGACACAATGTGTGCAATCACAATCAATCCAGTGAAATGAGACTGAAATCGTCAATAAGTTGATTATAAAGTTTCTACAAAAGCCTCTACCTGGTCAGAAAAAATCCAAGATAATTTCAAAAATTTTGAAATCACCTCAAAAAATGACCAAAGTTTAAAAATTTGATCAGAAATGAAAAATAAGTATATAGTCTAATTTTACTCACAATATGCGCAGTTTTTCAATGATATTCAAAGAATAATTCAGAATAATAAATCGTGTAAAACTACTTCATATTTATACGAAGAGCATATATGTTATCCATTTAAGAAAAGCATAAAGACATACCATATGATCAGTATTTAGTTTACTATGTTCATCTTTTTCTCGTTCTTTCATCCCTTCCTTTGCATCTAAAACCTACAATTGACGAATCATAATGTTCACAATTTTCTTTACCAAAGCAACAAACAAGATTACACACAACATAAAGAATTTATGTGAGTTAAGCGAACTTGAGAAGGAAATTTTTCGTAACATATTGTGAAGCGTTTCATCGCTTTTTTCAGGAAGTCTAGCGTACAGGGCGATAGTCAGCAAAATGGTGTTTCATTATCGGAAAGTGTTAGGATCGTCATATTTAATCAATGTCGAATTTTTTGCCACCTCATTCACTTATTGAGTAAATTAGCAAACGAATTTGTAGTAGCTTATGCAAGAGGCGGTTCCAGTATCTCATTCAGTGATAAATGCATTATTTGAAAAATTCGCATTACAATAACATTTTCATCAACAAGTCAATAAGTTATACGAGCTTAGTAAAGAGTGCACCCTCTGCAACGTCTTCTAGATCCGCATATGTTATATTAGGCAAGATGGCATGATATAAATTTGCAATTAATTGCTTTGGATGAACTATAATAAAAGCGGATAAAACTGGTATGATTATTAATGAAAACATATAATGGTTGTTAACATAAAATGCGGTTTCTCCACTGGATTTTCTTACTCATAAAGTTTATGTGGGGGTCTTAAGGCAATATTATAACTTACAATTAAATAAATATGCTGAAGCCAGCTTTTCATGTTTATTTTAATGATAATATTATGGATGAAAACTGCAATTGGTTCTCTTTATTTTTCAAAATCCAGAAGTAAAAACAAACACGCGCAGTTGTGTAAACTTGGAATTTAGTTAGCTATATAGGAAACGAGAACAAAGCATATTGCGATCATTGATTAATGTCATGTGATAGAGGATACTGATGTAAATGCGTATCTGATTCTTGTAGTTAAAGCATGATTTCACCAAAAAATTTCTGTTTTGTGAAAAATGGTGGCATATGCATCTTGTATAGCGCTGACTGTGGATAAATGTATTTTGCTTCAATAAATGCATAAAAAATGGAAACTTCGGTATAAGGCCTCTGAAAATTCTTTTTTGAATTCTATTATATTCACATTGAGTTTTTTTCGATAAAGAATTAGCAATCACAAAGTCAAATCTTTCATTGAAATCCAAAAAATTTTCTTAGCCACTGCCCTTTCGGCCTGCATTGAATTGTTTGACTTTGTAGAGTCATGTAGTACCAGTTCACCGTGTGAAAATATGCACTATTAAAAGCATATATTACAAACCAACTATAGCTATGATAGCACGGAATTATAACTAGCCTACATTAAACTCAATTTATTCTGTTTGAGTTATTGTAAAAGATATTTGGGGAAATTGGATTGTCCATACTTAGCAATAATATATACACATACTTGATTGTCTGTATTTGGCTCATCGGATTCTTGCGAAAGACTTTTCCTTTCGCTCTGCAGAGTATTTTGAGGCTAAAATAGACAAAAAACAACACTATAAACAATGTACAATGCACACTTAGACTGTATGGGTTCTTTACTTTCCACAAACTTAAATCGTAACTGTATAAAGAACTACGGAACCAGTAAAATTGGGAAGTATAACACTTTTAGAAAATGCAGTCTGACTGATATGAAAACGGCAATTATGATCTTGTGAAATTATGATCAAATAACACAAAATAGGAAAGCATCGGTTGTCTATTTGTTTAATATGTGGCTTGTAACAAAGATTGGAGTTTTAAACCGTGCAATCTAGAGTATGATTGGCTGAAACCTAAAGAGAATCAACATTTAGACAAAAAGTGTAAATTAGCTATCTATGAGCGAATATTTCCCAAAGACAAAGCCCAAGAACTATTGATTTCGGAAAAATATCATTTCCCTTTGTCAGCAATTAGTTTACATACTTGATGGTCGTAACAAGGTTTACTGCGTTCTAGTGGAAGTCTTTCTCTTTCGGTCTCCAACATATTTTGAGACTAAAAATCACCAAAAATAACGATAAAATATTATAGCAATGCTTAAACAAAACTTGAATTGTAATGACACCTATATACACAAACCAAAATTGAAAGAACAAAAACAAAGGCTTCAGCACGATGATAAAAGTACCATTTCAAAAGATCTTTGACACTGGATCTAAAAAGTTTCCTTCATCAATCACCTTTCTAACCTCAACATCACTGTCGGCCAAAGAATAATTTAACTTATCTTCATCTTTTTTTGGTGTCATTGCCTTCATTGCTTCTTGCTGAAAAGAGTTTGATGACAGTGACGTCGAAGAAGAAATTAAGAATCCCATCTATAAGTCTGAAAGCATGCCAAAAAAGTGAAAACCTACCGGGTGATCTTGGTATTCTTCGCCATGATATGACACACAAGATTCCTGCATAATTTTCCCCCTCTGAAATCGACAAATATTTTTTTGAAAAATAATTTTCCAAGAGAAAGACAATCCGTTTTTTTCATACATCCTGTATAAACTGATTAGAATAATGCTTTTGCGCATGCTCAAATGTGTTGTTTTGAAAGATCTTGCACTAATGAAATAAGCGTGACTAACTTTGACAAATCAGCTTCCTCTCTCTCTAGCAGCATGCTCAAGTGATCGTATCTCGTTTATCATGAGTTGTTGCAAACTTAGTTAAGTGTAAACTTTGGTTTAATTAAGCATGATAAAATTGGATTGTTCTGCAGCTGATAAAAAATAATGAATTTCTTCCCTTCTCAATTATGTGACGAATTTTATGTTTTTGCTCATTTGAGGTGATGAAGAAATGCAAGTAATTTAAATAGTTGGGCAGCTTAGTCGCACAAATATGGTGGTTGACTTACTTTGATGATCAAAAATGACAACTTAACAAATTACCTTTTTTATCTTTAAAGACTTATCACACGTCTCTGAACTCCGTTCATCTTCAAGCTCTTTTAGTTTTTCTTGAAAAGCTTTGACCGTCAGTTCATGTTCATCTTTCGAAGAGCTTGGAACAAGGACATTCGACACGAAGGTACACAATGATGGTAAGCACATCAAGACAACTTTTTTTTGGTCTTCTGTCTCTACTTGGCTGTCAATAAATAACTGTAGGAAGATATATTTGTAAAATGTCACTGATCATGCATTGAACCTTCAGATCAAAGGAAATCAAGTTCATGATTTTCCTCTATCATAATTGATGCTCATTTAGAAAAGGGCGATCAAGTTTATTTGAAATTGTAACTATAGTAACCAAGACATCCGTACAGAGATCAAATACACGGGGACAACGGAAGGTCGGTGATTTGGGGGAAGAGATTTATTTATAAATTCATGTTTCTCTTTATAATGACAATTGATTTCAATGTCAAATTATGAAATAATACTTTAAAAATGTACAGAATATGCCCTCTCCCCACACACAATCATCGATCTTCCACGGTCCCTGACACAAGATGTATCAAAAAACCTGCAACGCCTTAATTCACATAGCCGCCAGTTCCAATTTTTAGTATACGTGAGTATGCAAAAGTTGTAAATTTTTTTTTACTCCTGCACGAGGTTTTAAATTTCATTCTAATTCCACACATTGACTAAAGTAGAATATTGCATTGAATGTGCCAGTATGCATTAAGACCATCTCAACAAGGACAAGAAATATTTCTTGTGCTAAATTATGCCTGAACACAAAGTCTTATATTATAGAACGCAATTATAACTAGCTATAAAGTGAAAGTAGCTTGAACTATAAAGTGAAACTAAGCTCGAAGTAGTCATTTTATCGCCATTAGCTACTTAACCATGAATTTACGCTCCGCCTATAGCTGCCGTTTGTCTTCTACCCATGTACGCAATTCGTACCTGTTTTTACTAGAGCAATAAGTTTTATATTTGCCTTTTTCGAGTGCCCGACATTTAGATACTCAATTTTAAGCAATATAAACACGATCAGGGCTATTGCTATCGAAATTTTCATCCAATAACTGAGGCTGAGCAGTGTGCAAAAGTATTTATTGCTTATAACACCTACAAAGAAAGATAATATCCAGACGGGTGAGCAACTCGCACGGGTAAGCAACAAAAAGTATTTTTTAAAACTTTCAGATGTGAAAGTCCCTTATGACATTCTTAAGTTTTTAAAAAATGGAGAAAAAAACAGTCCCTCTTCACCATGCCTTCGATGAGACAAAAAGCATACCATCTATTTTTCCATTAAAAGCATATAGTAATGTATATAGTTAATATAGTAGTAGTTCTTTCATCGTAAATGAATTAAAGAAGTAGATAAAAATGACGAAATAAGCCGTTCTTGTGTATAAAGAAACAGTTATATGATGAGAAACTCAGATGACCTTCTCGAGATAGTAATTCGACATCAGATCTTCCGCTCATTTGACAATCAAAAAACGCAGTGGTTGGTCTCTACGTATTTTCAGCCAACCCATAATGCCTCTAACTTCTTTAAGAAAAAATGTGTTTTGGAAACCATGCCTGCTTCTCACATAATATACACCGAGTTCATTAAACAAGTTGCTGAACTAGAAAACGCCGCCGTATTATGCCACAGTGCTTTCTTACATATCAGGAAATTTGTATGCGTCTTTTATGGAAACTGAAAAGTCGTATCTATGGACAAACTGCACTACCCGTTCCTGGACATCATGCAGTGCGTTTTGCAAGGCGAATCTCTAATACCACACCACTCGACATAATCATGTTACACACGTGAAAGTGCCAGTGATTAACTGAATTAATTGAATGGCAAAGTAGCGTCGTTGCCACTAAACTGTTATCACGATGAATTTTGTCTGAACTTCTAGTCAATTTAGAAGACATGAATGTCTCAGAAACCTATATGAATGATCATGGGACGTGCATTTTATACGACTTTGACAAAGAAGTACTTGAAGACTAATTAGCAAGTTAGGTTTGACTCATTTACTGTGTCCAAAAATCACACAATTCTTTAAAAATACTTACACCATTAGTTTATGTTCGACTAGAAACAGTCATTCAATCTGATCAACTGTAAAACTCTTTTCCAAAAAAAATTGCTGACGTACGCTATGAAATTACGTTTACCCAAAATAGTTAAAAATTTAGACGAATGTTGAAAACTGCAAGTTTTTTTTTATTTTTAAGGCTTTGTAAACGGAAATTTTCTCTCTTTTATTAAACGTCTGACAATGTCAAAGTTCATGTTTGTTGGAAATATAATTATAAAATAACGATTTTCAAGAAAATGAGTCTTAAAACTTGAAAATGAGGCTGAAAGCCGCTAAAATTGCCTGTATAACATCAATTTTTGAAATCAGCGCCCCAATATTGACCAAATAGTCTGGTCAAGTGAATTCCTCAGTTTGAGGACGATACCCCTCTTTCTTCGCCTTGTCTATTTCTTATAGTACGAAAGAGCTACCAAAACCCTAACACCAGCAAAATTTTACACGAAGCACTACTTTAACAACACAGTCAAAAAATACTGCTTTCGTATTTCATGTATACCTGAATACTGTCCTCAACTGATACATTGTCCTCCGATGAAGGTATTGATTGGTCATCGTTCTCTTGTGCATCAGCCATGATCTAAATATACAAAATCAATTTCACATTGATTAATGATTACTTGAGAAAAACGACGATTTTTTTGAGAGCAAACATGTTTCGACATTATCAGAATGCCATCTTCAGTGCAGAAAGGTTAGTGTTAGGTAATATGATACGTAATATGATATAAATACATTAATTACAATGAATAGGATTATGATTCAGTTACTAAATATAAAATATTTACAAAAAAGGAAAAAGAAAAATAAGTATTAAGAACTTATAACAAAAAATATTATTATAAAGTAAATATAGTGTTGTAGTGGTGAACTTGGATATTTAAATCGGGATTAGTTTTATTAATGTGTAGAGCTTCCTTGATTTTGAGTGAGAAAGTGGATTGATCAGTGTCGATGATTTTAAAAAATATTTTTGAAGATGGCATTCTGATAATGTCGAAACATGTTTGCTCTCAAAAAAAAAAAAATCGTCGTTTTTCTCAAGTGTTTTTTAAAATTGCTGCTAATTAGAAATTATGATTAATGATTAATCTCAAAACATGGATGTTCATTCCGTAAAGAAGCAACCTTTTCAAGAAATAAATTTGATTGCATGCAAACAAATAATCAACTTCACACCTTTAAAATCTTCTTTTTATAATTTATAAATTGTTGAATGAACTTCAAGCTCTGGAGCCGAAATCGTAGAAAATTAGTTTGCTGCATAAAATAAATAGTATTTTGATAGAATTAAATTCAAATTTTTTTCAGACAAGCCAGGCCATTGTCTCCCATAAAAACAAGAAAAGGGACAAGGTTTGAAAAAATTTCGACTAAATGTGAAAATTTTCTGCTTGTTGCGCATCCTGCTCGTTTTTATTGCTGTTATCTAAAAATTGTTCGGTAAAACTACGTAAAAATTAAATACAATATAAAAAATTAAAACGCGTTGTGGTATAAGTGACTATAAGTCGTGTGACCTACATTATGTTCTTTTGCTCAAAATAAGCTCATATATGCATGTAGAACAAAAAATGTATACAAGTGGCAGTCATTTTAAAAAAAATAAATGTTCAAAAATAGGCATTTCTACGGTAATTAAGTTTTTAGCTCCCTCTTATCATCCACTCCAAAAAATCAACATTCGAACTTAAATTTATGACAGTAAAGTGGTTATAGCAGTCTTGCAGAAGTATATAAATTTTGGTGCACGTTGTTATTAGTAGTTGACACACTAATCTTACACTGAAAAATTTCTAGATCAGTTGCATAGATCGTTGTTGAGAGATAGTTGGCTTGTCCATGACGTAGCTATGTTGACCAATATGTGCGTGCTTGCCCATTCAGAAGTTCTACACAAAGTGGCATGGTGCACCACTCAATAAGTTATATCGCTGCTTAATTTTTTTATGTTTTTCATGCACTTAGCTGTTCGGGCCAAATCCAGTTACGCCTCTGTACCTGTCCACTTAAAACTTAGAAAAATTGTCTCCGCTCTGCTAATAAGAAGTGCTGCCTATTAAACTGCGACTATCTAATAAAGCCCATCCTTTACTTAAATTGTGTTGCCAACTGTATTCATTTGGCAAAGAATGAACAAACCAAACTAAATATCTGGTATTGCACAACAAATATGGCTCTCAATCAATGCGAACCTGATACTACTATCCTCTCTTTCCAGTTTCCATGTAGCTTCACAGCCATTAGGAAACAACGACTCTTTGGTAACAGATGCTGGGATGTACATTTGTATACATAAACAGATGCACATCTTCAGCAACATCCTTTTCACACAAGTTTCCTGTTCTTTGCATTAAGAAGCTAGTACTGGGGCGGAACTTGTGAATAGGCAATGTATACACAAGTGTCTTACTGACAAACATAAATTCTACAACGTTCAAGATGAACAGGCTAAAAACAGTTTCAAATACAAGACCAAATAAGATGCACTGGAGCTGTTTAGGGTTGACATTTCATTGGATATAAAACTTTGTTAATTGCTTTAAAAATTAAGTATATCATGCAATATAGAAGTATAATATACTAAAATTCAACTTGTTATATACTTTTACAAGACAGCATTTTCATGAATCTAAACAAAAGTAAAAGAAATGCTTTGGACAATACTGAGCCAAAATTTGCTTCTACCTTAAAATTTTTATTCAAGAAAAGCTTAATACTTTGTGCATAAAAAGTTTAGTATAGCTATGCCTCATCTGACAATTATTCACCCTTGGTGTGATTCCAGATGATCCAGGCTTTACATTGGTTAATTGGTTGCAATGAAGTTGAAGGCAGAAAAAGCAAAAATGGATGCAACAAACTTGAACACATATGATGAAGATGAAGTGGAAATAAATAAAATGATTAAACTAATTAAATATAAAATCATAAACAATTTTAAATTGCAAACTATGAAGGTGAACCG